GGTCAAAACAATAGTAAGAAGAGAAAGTTGATGTTATTTTGTGCCTGTGTTTCTTTCGCACTTGTTTTCAAACCCTGTTCAACAAAACCAATAAACAAGAAAAGCCCAGTTTTTAGGTTTGCCACAGTTAGGAACTTCACTGTATTGTGTAGGCTTGTGTAGTTTCCTCTAGATATTCTTTGAAACCAGTTTCTTCATGATTTTTCTTATTTATGCTGTTGAGCTAAGTGTCTGTGTCTTGTTTTTAAGAGATTTTATTTATTTTTAGAGAGAAGGGAAGGGGGGAGAGAGGGAGACAAATATCGATGTGAGGGAGAAACATAAATTGATTGCCTTTCATACATGCTCCGACTGGGGAGCGCACCCGCACCCCAAGCATGTGCCCTGATCAAGAATCGAATTGGTGACCTTTTTCTTTGTGGGACAACGTGCAGCCAGCTGAACTACACTGATCAGGGCTGTGTCTGTTTTTTAGGATGCACTAAGATTATGGCTAAGCTATCTTGGCTTAGATCTCTAGGTAATAGTGGGCTGTGTGGGCCTTCCTTCTCTCAAATTTTCAGCTAGGACAGAAGTACATCACATTAGGATCTCACGGAGTAGAGTCACATTTGTGTGTTGCAATTACTCTAGAACTGAGGCTGCTTTTTTCTAGGTGAGGGCAGTTATAGTTGTAATTTTTTTATCCATTGGGATATATAAATAGACCAGGATAATCCTTGTGAACTACATTTCAGAGCAAGCCACAAGGAGAGTTGCATTCTTTGACATATGGCAAAGCATCACAACATCTTTTATAGTAGAAAAGGAGAAAGGTGAAAATGAGTAATATAGAAATCCCCTGAACCTGTTGCAAAAGCCCCCTCTTCTCTGACTTCCCAGTGGGCTAAGGCAGTCCAGTCTAGGCTCTTATACCGCTATTTCTCTGCTGGACCTTTCCTTGTTTCACTGTCTCCAGCTTTAATAAATGTATCCTCATAGTTGGGGTGGGCTGGGGAGAAATTCACCCCAGATTTTCACTTAGGTTTCTCCATGATTTCCTTTTTCTTGTTTAACGTGTTTGGGCAGATAATCTTTGAGAGGTGTTTAAACTATTTCAGCCCTATTGGTTGTGTGTGTTTCCAATGTGGAATTAACCTTGTTCCTAAAAGCACATGCTGTTTTCTTGGTTGTAGGAAGGAGGGTGAGCGGAAGTGGAGGGTACGGGGTGCTTTGTTCTCTTTGCTAATAACCCTCTGAGTCAGTGCTATCTGATGGGCCCAGGCCACATGTTGTCTATTTGTCACTGGGGAGCAGGTAACAGTCTCAGTTACAGTAACTGAGCCTGACTCCAGGCAGTGGAAGGAAGCAGAATCCTCCAGTGCTTACTGAAACTGTGACCCTGTTTTTATTTCTTTATTCTTTTGTACAACTATCTGAGTTACAGAGGGTTGTGTTTGTCTCAGTAAATTCTTACCATTGGCCTTAAATAAAACCAGGTATCCTTCTTGATGCAAGTTTCTTATGGGAAGAATATCTTTGAAAACAACTTAATTTAATGTAATTACATTAAATTTGAATAATTACATTTGTATTGTTGTTTTTTTCTTAAAAGCATGTGTGGTATTTTGGAAACATGTATCAGAGTTGCTAAGGTTTTTCCCCCTCTTTTGACATACGTGATTCGTGAGGGAATTATACTACTCATTGCTGCAGTTTTGAACAAATGAGTGACAAAATTTATCTTAGTTCTCCTGAAAATTTAAGAAGATGGTTAATTTTCACTTTCCTTATTTAACAAAGTCCTACTTATCTATGTAGTTTAAGTTATAATCAACATATTTCTTATTCCAATAGAGAAGGGTAGTAGGAAAGGGAACACATTGGAAGCTGGGAGAGGCAGTGGTGGTGATGTCAGTAGTAATTCACTGAGGGGAGAGAGAGGTCATTGCTCAGAGGTGGTATTTGTAGGGCCTTTTAGCAACAGGGCTCCTTGTGACAACTGAGAAACAGGTGCTGGAAGTGGTCTTATTGAAGGGGTAATGGGAAAGACTTCATCCCACCATGTAATCCTTAGTGAGACCTGAAAAATTTACCATTAGTAATTATTCATTTGTATTAATCATAGCTGTCTTCCTGTGATCTTTTATTAGCATATATTACTGGGAGCAATAATGTCTTAACTCACTGATATCTTAGTACAAATTAGTTTTTGTGTGGGATTTTATAATTAAATTTTCTATTAGGTAACTGACCTCTGAGATAAGATGAAAAATAGAGGGGCACAAAGAACACAAAGTTAGAGAGCAACCCCATAAGCTTTCTAGTTTGGCCTTGGTTGATGGCCAAGTTGGTAGTAAGATTGGGAACTTCACTAACAGGGCAGCTGTTTCTGGCAAGAATAGATCAGCAATGATCCAGAACACCTCTTCTTTATCACTGATTTTGTACTCTAACCTGGCATGATGAGAGATGATGCGTGTAATATATCTGGCTTAAGCTTTGGCACATGGTAGGCAATGAATTTATGAAGCCTCTTTATAATAATATAATATTAGTGGTTATCAATAACTAATACAGTTTTGCTCTCTTAAAAGGCTTTAGAATGAAAGGCAGAGTTCTTGGGTAAAAATGTTACAACAGAACCTGTTGTCTTTCTTCCTTGGTGATTGTGGCAAGAGGGTGACTAGAGAAATTGATATTTGGAAATATTTTAGGAGAGTAGAATATTTTGTTGACTATTACTCTTTCAAGGAATCTGGGGAGATGGAGAGTAAGCTGTGTACTGGCTCCTGATTAACATGAGAATTTTCCATCCTACTTCATGCCCAGGTAGTGAGTGGTAGGTCAGGGAAGGAGGTCACTGAGGAGGAGAGGATTCTGGTGGATTGCTTTGTTGGGTATGCTACACCAGGCAGGTCCCTCAGCGTTCACTCATGAGCTGTGAAGTGGATTTATGCCTGTTACCTTAGTTTCGCTGGTGTCCAAGCATTTCCATGAAGAAAGTGATCGTGCAGGGAAGCCAAGAACTTACGATTTATGATTATTAAGGATGTTTTGAATCTTTAAACAGGAATAATACCTTGGCTGAATATCAGCTTGGCTTCTGTTGCTTCTTGATTTTTTTCTCTATTTTCAGAAAGCCAACTCATATCTTTTCCTATGAGGTATTTCCTGTGGTTCTTGTGTTTTTGTGGCCAAATTTATTATGAGGGAAGTTTAGAAGATTGTGAGTTACAACTTCTTTTTAGCCACGAGAGGGTGAAACATGTTCTTTATCTCTAGACTGAAACATAATTTTTATTTGATGATTTTTGAGAGGGTTTATGTACTTTTTTGATCATGTTTAGCAACTAGGACTCTTTTTTGTCTGCGGACTGAGGTAATTGCAGATAAAAATGATTAATGTGATGATGGCGAAAGACACAATTCTGTAGTTAAAGTCCGCTATAGATCGTATTTATCATTCACATTGGGCTTTTTTTGATTTGCTCCATATCTATCAGCAAAAGACTTGTTTATCATTCTGATAACACTAAGGCCTGGGTATTAAAAAACCCCCACATTTTTCTGGTTTGGGTGATATTTTTCTGGGCATGAAGGCTGCAGGCTTCAGGTTCCTGTTAGGAGGTAGAAGTGAAGGGGAAGGATGACAAGTCTGTAGGCCCTGGGCCCCAAACCCTGGGTAAGATGTATGTCTTTAGGCTCTGTCTTCAGGGACTTTGAGAAGGTTGCAGATGTGGTGTGCATGAATAGTGAGCTTGTATGAAAATCAGTGAATTAAAAAGCAATAATTGAGCTTTGGACCTCAAGGAGTTAGGGGGAGGGGTTAGCCTGGAAGAGTCTACAATTTTAATTGCCAGCTCCCTGTTAGTGAAGTGTTGATCTGGCTAATAAGCAAAGAGAATCTGGGTCAGGTTTCCCTTCAGCCTTTCAAGTTCATTCTTTCCCCTGGTGCTTCAGGTGACAGCAGAGGAGGCTGTAAAGTCAGTCCCACAGAGGGCAGTAGCCCTCATACCCACTGTTGCTGGATGGAGGGGTCCTGGCACACATGGGCAAGGGGGCTTACTTTGAGGGTGGGTGGTGGAGAAGGAAGTCTCCCACCTGCTACTCCATTCTTCTTACATCTACTTTGGAGAATGAGTTTATTGTGCTTGGCTTTACCTCCTGATAACTCTCTCTGAAAAATTTTGACCTTTGCTTTTGAGAGTCAGACACTTTTGTATCAAGGGGGAACTGGCATTAGCGGAGGTCATGTCTAGGAAGTGGAATCTAATTTAGAAGCAAAGGCGCCTTAAGTGAGCTGTAGCTGCTCCAGGTTATAGGTGAACAGTTAATGGGACTTGTTTGTCAGGGTGTCTGAAACATAGTGAATGCTTATGAAATGTTTATTGAATGGACAAGAGAATAAGTGAGTCATTAAAGATTGGACTATATGTTGTTGATTCATTTTCCTGCTTTTATGTTTCTACTGGTGTATTATCCTGAAGGAAACTGATTTGTTTACTCTTCTCCTGTGGTCTTGAAATACAGGATGAGCTGTAGGTACTGGATTATAATTAAAGCATTACTAAAGTTTTATCTTCTGTTTTTTGATATACATAAACTACCCATTCTATGTGTGTTCCAATTTTTTATTTGTTTTTACTTGCTGTCTCCTGTTTGAAATTTTAGACATGATCCAACATGTAATCAGGTGTCATCTTACATTCTATAAACTTTGAAAGCCTCATGAGTTATTTTAAATATATTTATCTATTAGACTAAAAAATTCTTTTTAGTCTATACCATAATTGCTGCTTGTATTTTTAGATATGATGAAGTTGTTGGCTAGGAGAATGCTGACAGCATTGATGACCTTGAAAGATCAATAATGAAATGCAGTTTTATGTGTTAGAAATCATTACCCGGCCCTATAGTGTGTGTCATGCCATCAAACATTTATCTGTTACATCAGTTAAAGTAGCCTTTAACTGGCCCCCTTGAATCAGATCTCTTTTTCTTTTTTTCTTTTTTTATTTATCCCTCAGACAGTTCCTTCTGGAACAAACTTTCTTCTTCTCCCCCAGCCAGCCCCAGTAGGTTAACCTTTACAGATTCTGGGACTAGAACAGTAGGTAAGACATGTGAATGTTTCATCATTGGGAAGAGATCTCTCTTTTTCTAGTATGTCCTTACTCCATGGTTACAGCAAGCTTCTGGAGCTCTGAGTTGGTCAAGCCACCCTGCTCTGACATGAAGCCTTTAACATCACTTGTTACCTTCCCTTAGCCAGATATGCTGAGGTCGGAAGGTGATGAGGCAGGTATGGTGTGTGAATTTGGAGATATTGTAAACATGTTCATATGAACTCAGTGTTACTGTTCATGAAGTTTTGCTTTACACTTTGGGTTCACCTGTAAAATTCTTAAGTACTAAGTGAATTGAATAAGAATAACCATTGGTTACATTGCCATTTGAAACCAGGGAGCAGTGTTTTACTGAAGTTCATATAATGCCAAAACAGTAACTATTCCGTTTCATACCATTCTGAGCCACATAATTTATCAGCTGATATCTGTAGCAAACTAAATTCTAGTGATTCCAGATTTCATTTTTTAGTACTGATATCTTTAAAAAGTGGGCGATTATCAGAAACTGTCAGTGATGGATTAGTATAATAAAGTATATTACATAAAGTTACACAGGTGACTGAAGAGACCTAAAACTAGTGACATTGTGAGAGGATAGGAGTGTTGTTTGTGTGTTCTCCTTGTTTCTCATATTAGACAGTTGATTGGAAATGGTTAGAAAAGGTAAATTTAGAAAACCTATATGTTAGAGATATGGAGGGAACTATCAGAGAAACACCAAAATCATTGAAAGAATTTGCCTCTGAGGAGCAAGGCAGGAAGTGGAGTAGAGCAAGCCAGACTACACTTGCTTTTCATTATAAGTGCTTTGTTTATATTTATATTTTTAGATATGTACATATGTTACTTTGATAAATACAAAATACTCAATATTAAAAATTCTTCTTCTTCTAGAGTAGGTACCAGATAGTAGCAGAGTGGTGAACTTTTAAGCAGTGGCAGCGAGAACTGAATTAGGGGAAGCCTAGAGTCCTGGTCACTACCCATAGGCTGTCTTCAGGTTTGCTTTTCTCTAAACCCAGTTTGCTGAAAATCTTGCCAGAGCTTTGAAACAAAACAAACAAACACAGAAACAAAACAATAAGCCAAGAAATGGCACAATGGTGAATCATTTTTAATCCTGTGTGAACATCTTCTAGAACCTTGGAGCACAATGGAATGTATTACCAGTGGGCACAGACATTGAACACCAGTGTGGGATTGAGGCTTTTCTTCCATTGTGATTCCTGGTGCTCCCACTGAATAGGACTTTGCTAGGCTGATATTTGTATCAGAGCCAATTATTTGACTAGTACTAGCTCTGCTATTGAGTTAGTAACATTACAGGGAAAGCAAGACATGAGCTCAAAATTGGCAAGGCAAAGGGGATGGGACAGCAAAATGCTGAATTTGTGTCCAGGGACACTTCAGGAAAGGCTGTTGCTTAAGGTTGGTGCTTCTTAAGGGATGAGAAGTTTGCCTGTGGATCATGTTTAATTTTCTGTTTATTTGTAAACACCCCAGGAGTGAAAGATAATGCAAAAAGAAGACATTCTTATGCCAAATAAGTTTAAAAACTGAAAAAAGAGCCCCTAATTCTTATCTAATTTTAGGGCCTTGACAGTGATGGAAATACTTATTGGGAACCTCAGTGTTTGCATGGCCGGGCCAGTGTGCAGCCTGCACTCCTCAGTGCGGCAGCTCTCTGCCCTGCCTAGGGAGATCTGGGATCTGTGGTCCCACTGGGGAGACTTTTCTGAGGAAGTCAAAAATATATAATTTTTTGTGTGTGTAAATAGGCCATACTTTACTTTCAGGGTCAACTGGAATATATTTTATTATAACTTATTTATTATCTTGTGAAATTTTAGCATTGAGAAAAGTTAAGCGATAAGCTTGGTTCATGTGAGTCCAAAAATTGCACAGATTTCAGTGGCTCTTTGGCATTATTTTAAATAAATATTTCACCTATTAATTATTAGGGACACAAGAGTAAAATTTTATTCATCCAACATTTGCTCTTGCTTCATATTCAGCCTATTGGAGAGAAGATTTCGGATGGATTTTCACTTGAGGTGAAACCTAAATAGAAGGCTTTAAGAAGCATTCGGAGCTACATTTTGTAGTACAACACAGGTGTGAAGCTAAGTGTGATATATTTCTGGGCATATCTTTAGGAGAGCGGGAGGTCAGTTGGATATAAGAATAAAAATGAAGTAAATGATGGATTTAGACAGAGACAGATACTGGTATCCAAGTTTATACTCTAAATAAAACTTTTTGAGGGTGTTTATGAAATACAATCAATGTATTTATTTTTAAGATACAACACTTATTTATTTATTTTTATTATTGTTCAAGTATAGTTGTCTGCATTTCCTCCCCACCATTCCTCCCCTACCCCAGCCATCATCACTTCCCTCTCCTGGTCCCAGCCCCCCCTTGGTTTTGTCCATGTGTCCTTTATAGTTGTTTCTGAAAACGCTTCCCCCCATTATCCCCTCCCACCTTCCCTCTGGTTACTGTCAGATTGTCCTTGATTTTAATATCTCTGGTTATATTTTGCTGGCTTGTTTTGTTGTTAGGTTTCACTTAAAGGTGAGATCATATGGTATTTGTTTTTTATTGACTGGCTTATTTCACTTAGCATAATGCTCTCCATTTTTATCGATGCTGTTGCAAAGCGTAGAGCTCCTTTCTTTCTGTTGTATAGTATTCCATCATGTAACCATACCTTCATTTCTTGATCCATTCATTTACTGGTGGACATTTAGGTTGCTTCCAGCAATTGGCTATTGTAAATTGTGCTTCTGTGAATATTGGGATGCATAGATTCTAATGGATTGGTGTTTCAGGTTTCTTAGGGTGTAATCCCAGCAGTAAAATAGCCAGGTCAAAAGGCAGTTCCATTTTTAGTTTTTTGAGGAAATTCCAAACTATTTTCCACAGTGGCTGCATCAGTTTGCATTCCCACCAATAGTGCAGTAGGGTTCCCTTTTCTCCACATCCTCTCCAACACTTGTTTGTTGCTTTGTTTCTGATGGCCATTCTCACAGGTGTGAAGTGGTATCTCATTGCAGTTTTAATTTGCATCTTTCTGATGGTTAGTGATGCTGAGCATCCTTTCATATGTCTCTGGGCCATCTCTGTGTCCTCCTTGGAGACTTGTCTATTCAGGTCTTTTGCCCACTTTTTAATTGAGTTGTTTGTCTTCCTGGAGTGGACTCGTATGAGTTCTTTATGTGTTTTGGAGATCAAACTCTTGTCCAAGGTATATCATTGGCAAATATGTTTTCCCATATAGTTGGGTTCTCTTTTCATTTTAATGCTATTTTCTTTAGCTGTGCAGAAGCTTTTTTATTTTGATAAGATCCCATTTGTTTATTCTTTCCTTTATGTCCTTTGCTTTAGGGGATATATTGGTGGAAATATTGCTGTGTGGAATATCTGAGGCTTTATTTAATTTTAGAGACAGGGTGGGGGAGAGAGAGAGAGAAACGTCAGTGTGTGGTTGCCTCTTGTGTGCCCACCTCTCTTGTGTCCCTAGCTGGGAACCTGGCCTGCAACGCAGGCATGTGCCCTGACTAGGAATCCAACCCAAGACCCTTTAGTTCTCAGGCTGGCACTAAATCCACTGAACCACACCAGCCAGGGCCTACACTCAATGTATTTAACACAATAGTGATTCACAGTGATTTTTTAGGACCACCCCCCTCTTGGGCTTTTGACTTTCCTATTAGGTATGTGTCTCTCAATAACTGGGCAAGTTCTTTAGGGTGTTTGCTGCTAAGACAGGTCCTGAAAGTTGAACAAACCTTTAATTGCTGTTTTCCAGAATAGAACTAAGGGAGTTAGCACTTTGAGTGTAAAATCCTCCCTCCTTTTGAAATCCTCCCTCCTTTTGAGAACCTCAAAACCTACAAACTACTTCCTTTCTTAATCTCCATTGTGGAGCCCTTAGTTATGTAATGTATGTGGCCCCAAGGTCAGAATCCTCCTATTCAGATCCATTGGGCCTCATTCCAGCAAAACCTGTTGGTGAGTATTCTACCTCCCATCTGCCATAGAGAAACACAAGGTGGGAGCAGTCATTCAGCTTAGTTCTGCTGAGTCTGGGGTAGGATCTTTTCTGTTTTTGCTTTAGATATTTCCTGATTGTCTTGTTAGTGACAGACACTTAAAAAATGCTGATTAGTAAAGTAAGACATCTCTTGCAGAAGGTCTATCCGCCTGGGTGCTGCCAAGTGGTTGGTTGGTGGGTATTTTTTGCAGGAGTGGTGGTGCTGGAATTAGGGTGGAAGTTTACCCCTCTTGATTCTCAGTATGATAAAAATCCCATCTTGTCCCTGAAAAACATATAGAGAAATGAAACAACACATACCTGTGTGATGCAAGTAGCTGCATGTATAATCAGGTGATAGTTCTGTTATTTACTTATACTCTGTGGTTTTAAAAACTGTATCGTAGTGGGGAAAATGATTACTCTTGTCTTCAGCCAGTATGGAAATGATTACTAAGGGAGTCAAAATATGTGCCTTTTAAGATAACTCCATTGTTTCTTGTTCTAAGCTTTTGGATTCCAAATTCTGTTTTTTTGCTTTTTGTGGCAAAACTTGCACTTTTATAAAGCATCAGTGAGTAATTATTCTGTATTACTTTAAAATAAAGAAGTAGGAATCAGTTCTGGTTTTCAGAAATAATGATCTATCATTTCTTTGCAGTTGCCACCACATTGCCACACTGCCATCCTGAGTGCTGTGGGTTTGGCTGGGGCCCTCAGCCAGGTGAGGGGACACTTGTTGTCTCCAGAGGTTGAAACACCTCAGCTATAGGAAGCATCTGCTGCTGCAGAAAACCTCAGGATAAGCATTTATTGATGCCCTACTGTATACTAGGCATCCTGCATACTGCTAAGGAAACAAACATAAGTACTATCCACTGCCTGTGGCTGAGTCATCTGCAGGGTTCTTGTTTGTTGAGTTAGTGTTTCCAGCAGAAATAATTGTAAGAGGGGTGGCCTGTTGTTTTTCTTACTG